GCGGCGCCGGAGCGGCGTGCGGGGCCGCCCTCCAAAGGCGCCGGCCGTTCGCCGGGGCCAGGTTGGCAGAGGCCCGATCGTTGGTTTCAAGGGCACCGTGCGTGGGCGCCGGCTCTTTGAAGTTCCGTGCTTGCGTGTGGACTCTGCGTGCGTGCGTGTGCGTGCGCCCATGCGCCGGCTTCACCCGCTGAACCCTAGCGAGTGGGAAGGAAAGAAAAAGAGTTTTTAGAAGAGTCTTTCTGCTCTCCGGATCTCGCTGTTCCCACAGGACAGAGCGGAGAAGCGGGGACAAAAGCAGCTCTGGAGGGAAGATGCTCTGATGAAACAAAACGTGCTCGGCGCATTTTATTTCAGTATGGCGAGACCCATCCAGGGGTGGCAAAAGAATAAGGAAGAAAAAGCAGTTAAAGCAAACGTTCTTTTGCAGTAGCACATAAAGGGGAATGTCAGACACTCTGCTGACACTGATAAAAACTTAGTGTAAAGGAGATGCAGTGCTTTAGTAAACGTTAATAATCAGTAGCAGTTGTGCTAAAAAAAAAAGAGATCAAGCCTGTGAGGTGTCCACACTTGAAAACCTTGGTGGGATGTGTGTGGTCAATGGCACAAATTAATGTTGCGTAGTTTGCTTTCCAGAAACGGATTTGGTAAAAAGATTGAAGAAAAAGATCGCAGGCACTCGGAAGAAAAAACTTTTATTTCACAGAATCGGCCCTGCTGCGAGGCCTAAAGATAGAACGACCAAGCCATAAAAGAGAAATCTATAAACACTGGCATTGCTCCTGATCTGGGGCCTGACATCAGCATAACAGGCAGTTCGTAAATTAGATTGCCTGGGCTAATGCTCAGTGTTCGGAGCGCTACAACCTTCAAACAGCCTTCCAACTACCTGCAGCAACGTTTTGGGGGAAATCGGACGTAACTCTCCATGCCAGATTCTACGAGATAAGGCTGCCGTGACTCCGAAGGCGCGATCTGCTAAGTTTGAAGCTTCCTCGGCTGTTGGCTAAAAAGAACAGCTACCTGGCCTCCCCGTTGGATATGGGGATGTTTAACCTAGGTTGTTGTGCTGGCAATGACAGGGATGAAAACAAGAGTAGTTCAAAGGTTGGAGACTTGCTAAGAGTCCAGTACTTTGATCTACTGTCGGTGTTGTTATGTTTCTTTTAGGAAGCACATCCAGAGCCTTTATTTAACACTGCTACACGCCACAGCTGGAGAATGGATCAGCAAATGAGAACCATGTTCTGGGAGTTTTACGTCGCTTTTAAAAAGCACAGCGCTGAGCTCACCAGAACTGGGGCCCTCTTCAGCTCCCTACTGAAGTTGGGAATATTGCCTGGGGAAAGCGCGCTCAGGAAGGCTGCCACTGGGCTCTGCGTTTTTACTGTTATTTTTGGATGTCGGGATTTTCTCTACCTCTTGCTTTCCTCATGACTTCTTTGTTGGCTAGTGAAGATCACATGTGGCTTAAGTAGCATCTGGACTTTGCTTTGCTGTTGCTGGGTTGTGTTGTGTTTCCCCTTGCCAAAATGAACCTAGATGGACTGCAAACGCGTTGTGCTGCCTGGATGCTGCGGGGCCCGATCCAAAGTCCACTGGAAACACTGACACTCGCTGAAGCAGCCTCAGGGGCAAGTGCGGTATATCCTTTGCTTGAAGTACAGCCCGTGTCCTCTGCTGTACAGGAGGGTCTCCTCCTAAGAAGAGACAGCAAAACAACGCTTGCTTAGGAAATAAAATCTCCGCCAGTTGGCCCAACGAGGTGAAGGCTGTGGAAGTGTCTGTAGAGGAGCGTGTTACGTGTTTGCTCCAGAAAGAGAAGGTTACGCTGCAAGGTGAAGTTGAGGGGAATTCCTTCTAAGCTCCCTCTTCAGTTGTCTGGCTAGCAGAAGTTTTGAAAAATCCATTTTCACCAAAGGATGTCTTTGTGCTGTGGTAGGTTCGGGAGAGAAAGCAAAGGAAAGAAAAAAAAATTACCAGGAGTTGTTTGAAGTTAACACATAATTGAGCTTAATGAATGGGGCTTTGGCATGGCCGAGCAAGGCAGGGAGAGCTCAAAAGGAAGCAGGCCTCTTTTGGCCCAAGTTAAGACCAGTGTTGAGGGAGAACTGCAGCTCTATACAAGCATAACAATGAATAGCAACAAATATTGGAGCTTCAGCATTTCATTATGTTCCTCTGGTTATCAAAACATACCAGGCTCCTTTTATATTATTATTATTGCTGTTATTGTTGTTGTTGCTCTCCTCCTCTGGGATGGAGAAAGAAAGATCCCCCTTTGAAACAAGCATGTTACAATTCTCCTTTTCTCTGGCCTTTATAAAATTGGAAGTCTCAAGGTATGTGACCAGTTGGAACCTGTTGCATCTTGCAGCAAGTGATTTATGTTCGCAGTTTTGATTTGCCTCAATGAAAAGATTTTCATTCATAGCCCCCAGCTCTCCAGACGGATGGAATTGCTGCTCCATTTAAAAAGGAAAAGGGGTGACTCGCCTTGTTAGGAATTTTTTTTAAAGCACTGCAGCGCCTATATGCCTGCTTTGTCCTCCCTTCAGGGTGGCTGGCATTCTTCTCTCTCCTCCCCCTCCTCTCTCTCTCTCTCTCTCTCTCTTTTTAACAACGCTGAAGTTGTTTATTCTTTTTGGATGAAGTCTCAGATAGGCTACTGGGGATGTGTGCTTCAATTGATGGGGCCCCCTACCCCATTGTGGCTGTGTCAGGTCTAATTCATCTCACCGAAGCCCCCTTGTTCCTGAGCGCTCAATAGCGCAAGATGAGGCGATGGAGGCTGACAATGATGCCACACTCTTCACTTGGGGGCATCCAATTACAGGCGAGAGGGGCCCCCTGATTAATATGCTGAAATTAGTGGCCTCTGCCACAAATAATTCCTTGTTGAGTTGCAACAAAAAGGCAGTCCATGCTGCTTGTCTGGAGTGGTTACAGGGACAGACACAAACTGGTCATTTAAACTTCATTATCACTTTTCCACCTTGGAAAGAATGAGGGTGTGACTATGAATTCATGTTCTTGTTTACTGCTCCATTTAAAAGAAGAACGCAAATATTAATCCCAAACGTGATCCTGTCAGGACCGACTCATTAAACTGACACATTTTGGTCATGTTCTGTTTGTGGAGCTTGGTAAACAAGTGTCGCGCTGCCACCGTACCCTTGCGAGCAACCCAGTCTTGGTGGAATTCACGCTTGCCTACTGAAATGCCTCATCTCTCAAGTCTACCTGCAACTGCGTAGCAGTATTTCAGTTCGGGGTCTGGCTTTGGAATGCATGTAGCGTCACTAAGCGGTCTGGACTACTTTGATTTTTGGGAACGACAGAAGCTTGCCAGAAGGTGGGCGTATTTCTACTTGGAAATGGGCAGATTAGGAAAAGGGGATACGTTAAATTTATTTTAAGCACAGTAACATAAATGAGATGACTTTTAGATCAAGCTTGCCTTTTGACTGGCAGCGCATCACAAAAGTTTGGCCACAATTCATCGTATCAGTTTAATTTTGAAGGTTCGTAGAACGCTGGGCGAAATGCCCCTTTGAAGGTGGGTATTGGTCAGGGCTACAATGGAGCGTCAGAGGTATCTGAATGGATTCAGAGAGAGGACTTTCACAGAGTCCCAAAGTCTTTAGTTTCACTGGTAAAACATTTGCACAAAAGTTATTTTATCATAATAAAGGAGATGCATGATTTAATACTTAAACTGTTCCACTGAGCCCTCTAAGCCGTCCATTCCTTTGATTTCATTCAGGGGTTTGACAGATGGTTTATATTTTTTCAACCCAGAGGAAGTTGTATTGCGATAAAAGCTGAAGGAATGTATCTCAGGTTCTTGTGTATAATGTGGCATTTCCCTTTCTTCCTCACAAAAAATCAGACGTTTACTGGTGCCACTTACTTCCTTTGTTTCCGATTCTCCTCCAAGGTGTACACTGCAACGGATCAAATGCATTCCTGTTCAGCAGAAAGAGTCTTAGCATTAAAATGTGGATTATTCTCATTAAAAAAAAGAAACCCAAACCAAAAACCAAACCGAAAACATGCTAAATGGCAGAGACAGCCCCTTAAGGAATCATGGGAGTGGCTTTGTGGAGAGACCTACAGCAATGCAGTCTGGAAGGGGGCCCAGCCTCTTGTCAGCATGGTGTCACATCAGAATGTAACTGATTGTCCGCCAATTCTTGGGACCCCCGTCACTTAGTTATGCCACATTTACATTAAATCCCTGTTGCCAGGATGGATGGCAGCCACTGACAAGAGACTAGGTTGAGACAAAGCATTTTTAAGATGAAACCTTAATTTAAATATGGATTATCTGCCTCCTGACGGGGTTAAGCAGTCTTTCTCTTTCTTTCGTTTTTGTTGATGTTGTTGTTCATTAAAGCTATATTCCTTTGAATGGCAGTGCAAAGGTTTCTGCTTTAAAGGGCCCGAGGACTCCTTGTTAGAGCGCACCTAGGATCTGACCATGCGAAACACTTCAGAACGCGAACAGGTTTTCTCAGATGTATGGTGCCACTGACCCCAGTGGCATTATTCACAGGAGCAAAGTATTTTAACGTTTGAAGAATGGGGGGCCCTGCTTATGATGAAAATACCTCGCAGTGATGGATGGCCTCCCAGGCTTAGCGCAGGGAAGGGCTACTCGCTCCAGCACAGTTGCTCATGTGGATAAGTGTTTACAGGTTTGGACCTGTAACAGTTTACAGCAGGAGGCACCTTTCTGCTCGCAATTTTCACGACCTTTTCGGATGCAATAGTTGGCAGCTGAAGCCATGCTGGTAGACGAGTGTATGTGTATGGGCAGGCTTCTCTTACAGCAGTGATTTCAGTCTTTTTTTTTTTTTTTTTCTCCTTTCTTCATACAGATATAAAATTTATTTCAAACCCGCCTTCCATGATCGCAGCTGGCAGTGTGGTAGCAGCTGTGCAAGGCCTGCATCTGGGGAACACTAACACTTTCCTCTCCTATCAATGCCTCACACATTTCCTATCACAAGTTATCAAATGTGATCCGGTAAGTGACTCTTTCTCTCGGTTGATCTCCTGCCTTAGAGTTTAAGAATGAACGCCTGCTTACTGCATAGTAGCTAATCCGACAGTAAATCTTGATAAAAGTCAAACTTCAGAGTGGGGTTTTTGAACGTGTTCTCTGGTGTCCGTCTGAGTTACTTAGCTGTCATTATATCCATTAATAATCGGTGATTACGCTGCTGCAGTTCACTGATAGGAATGCCACATCAAGCTGTAATGTTAGCTGACATCGGGGCGCATCTGACAAAGCAAAGGAAACCCTGCATCCGTTTGGGACGTTGCAGAGGCTCTGGTTGGTTGTAGGTAATTACGCCACGAGTTGATATAAAACAAACTTTGAAAATAAGACGAGGAAATAGTTACTGAGACCTCGTGGTATCTCTGACCTTATCTTTGACCATTCTTGAGGCTTTTTATTGTGCCAAGTGGTGTGAAAAAGCCCTTCTTAAAAGAGTTCTAATGATCTAATTTGGTTTATTACGTGCTAGACCTGCACAGTAGCTGGTATTGAATTCCTTTTCGGAACAAATGCTTGTCCCACGACTTTCTGACAAGGTAGATGGTCCTCACAGGACTCTCATTTTGCCCTGCAGCTTCCAGGAGATGCACATCAGTAACTAGTGAGCAATAAACCTTTCATGAGTGAATGGGCCAGGAAGGGAGCCTACAAGGAAGACCTAAAGTCAATGATCCATGTCATAATGGTGTGTGAAGTTGGGGCAGAGTTGAGCTTTGTTTTGTAACAATGTGGAAGACCAATAAATAGATGCTTTAAAAAGGTTCTTGTGAGGTCTCCAAGCGCTGGACAATGAGTCAAATAAAGACAACTCTGTGGTTAGCAGCAGAATCTTTGGGATGCTCTTAAATTATTTTACATGTTAATAATTTAAATACATAGAGAACTGTACTAGTCCAGACACTGCAAAACTAGGTTTCTTTAATTGGACTTTGTTGACAGGATTGAGTGATTTCTGGAAACATGAATGCATTGTCATTAATTATTCACAAAAGAATATTTTACTTTTGATAGCCTGTGTGAAACAATTGCTGACAAATACGGGATCTCAGCTTATTATTTTGATCACCTTAACAATGCTGCAGTATTGAGCACGTCATTTTTGCCATGTGTATTACTGCAGCTAGAGTAATACGGATCCAGTGTTGACATGTTAAATACTGTAAGAACTTCAAATGCTGACATAAAATGCTGCTCAGTTTGCTATGTACCTGTAATGCTCTTAGTCAGTCCGTGAACAATGTAGATATTGCAGTGTATGGTTGGCCACTACCCAGTGTGAGATATTTGAAGCGGGTACTGAGAAAAATGCTAGGCTTGCTATCTGTTCTGACAGCATCTGATTCAAACATCATCATTGAATCATTCCTGATGCAGAGCACTGAAGCAGGTTCTCTCCCACCTTGCAGAACAACAGCATGCCCTTACGTGACTTGACTTAGCTGATGACAGAGCTCTTTTGTAAACAAAAGGAGAGTAGTTTTAGCAAGAAGGAGAATTCTTGCGAATTTCTTTTTTGTGGTCCAGAGTCATTGCAAGGCCACAGTCTGTGTGACGTGAGCTTAGGTACCAGCTTTAGAGGGAAGTAACTCCCCTCCAGCTTTCATTGCTAAATTTATTTATGTGTTAGAGCAGCTAGAGTTAGAAGTAAGGTTTTTGTATAGGTTGCTACAGAAAATAAACATCCTAAAATTATATGCATGTATACCTATACTGTTATGTTTGTAATGGGGTGGGGGAACAGCACCTTTCACTACTGTTGCTTGGAGTAGAGAAAACTGCTTGGTTTCACACATAGCATGATTGCCCTGCAGAGAGAATTCCCCGTAAGATGCGCCTGTGTAATCCACGGTATCAAATGCTATTCCTATTATCTTATTTCACTAGCTTTTACATGAAGTTTGTTACTTCACAGTGATGGTTTCCCGTGTCAGATCGCACATATGAATACGCTTTATATTGGCTTGTCTTGAAAAATTAAGAGCATGCATTATAACACGGCTAACATTCTCCCCGATTATCTATTAGCTAGAGCAGCTGGTCTGTTGGATTTCAGGTTATATAATTACACTTTTTTACCTTTAGTCTCAAAGAAAGCTGAATCTAAAGTAAAATGAATATCACCTGATTGGAATTCCTTTATGGTTCATGTTTACGTTGGTAGGAGTCCAGTTTCCCATTTTGCCTTTGATCAGGGGTAATTAGAAGTCAGATAATCACAATTAGAAGTCTTGGGCTGTCTTCCATCATTCTATTCTTGACCCCATCATCCAAACGGATTGAATTTTACCTGACATTCATTTCCAGGCCAGAAATTTGCTAAACTAGATTAGATTGGGTTTCCATGCTGTCTGTTAGTACACTGGAATTCGTCTTGTGCCTGCCCCTACTCAGAGGCACCTTCAGACATGTGGTTGTTATCCCCAATGGGTCAGGCAGTGACAAAGGATTTCCAAGCAGTTTCTTTTTTGTTGTTGTTGGTTTCCTTTACTATCTGACCCTGGAGTCTGATCATGTCTGCTGTGTGTGTTCAAGGTATTTGACCACATCAGTTAAGCTAGCAAGTTGAGGTTTTTTGGTTTTTTTCCTTTTTTTTTTCCACTGAGGAGCTTAATTAATCCAGGAAGGGTTTATGACCTTGAACAAACTGTGGGCATTGAAAATTTGGGTAGTGAAGCAGAAAAGTTGTTGGGAGAAGTTATCAGAGTAATGCACAAGTTTTCTATTTGCTTTTCAGTGTTGAGAAGTACTGAGAATGAAAAAAGCTTTGGTGAGGTTGTTCACAGTGAATTTTATATTTTGCAGTTATTTTTGCTAGCTCTAATACATTCCTGCAGACAAACTGCTCCTCTAATAGTCCTCTGAATAAGAAATGAACAAAAATACCTAAAATACTGTTGATTCAACTGTAGCTTAAGACATCGTCTGTTCATAATAAAGGGTAAAGAATAGGTTTTAAACAAATACAGTTACAACATGTTTTATTCTGAGAATCTCACAGGAAAAAAAACTTCTGTGTTCAAAAATTACCTTTAAATTACATAGTCCTATGTAATTATTCATGATTGGACACCAGAGGGGGAATAATAGGTATTTATAGAAATCCTTTTGAATGTTTTTAGTTTTCAGAGCTCAAACATGCTATATGCAAATGGTTAGGATTAAAAAAAACCAAACAACCCACACCCACAATACAACCACCAAAACCCACCAAACAATCCACCCCCCTCTCCCCCAAAAAACAGCCAAAAGGGTTTGTTTTGCTCTGAAAACAAATTGGCTTTCAGTTTGGAACACTGAACGTGGTACCTCGCTAAAACAGAATTATCCTCAAAAGTGCCTGGATTTGTAAAACCAAAAATAAGTAAACCTGTACTCATGCACTACTCTATAGAATACATCTAATTCCAAGTGCCACTGAGGGCCGTGGTACAGGACACGCAAGTAGAAGCCTTACAGTCAGGATTGATCCGTCATATCCTGAGAAGGGGTGAAAGGACTTCACAGAGATCTTACTGTGAAGGCCAGAGGTATGTAGGAGCCAAAGGCATGATGACTCTAGGATATGAGGCGTTTCTTTTTGTCATTTAAAACGCTGTGTGTCTCTGTCAAGAGGAAATATTACACTAGGGTTTAAACCAGAAAAGGTCATAGGTTATGTGTTTTCAGTGAGCTGTAACTGATGGTCTGATCTGCTTAGAGGTGGGATTAACCTCCCTCTCTCTCAGAAAGGACTTGCAGAGAATTGTTTGCTTGGGTTTCTAATCTTATTTTACCCCAAATGCCATGTGCCCTTATTGGTGGCAGAGGAGATTCTTGTGGTAGTGGAATCAGTGAAAAGCTGGTAGATCACACAAGAAGCCTCTGAATGAAGGCAGAATTGAAACCGGGAAATAAAGAAAACAGCAGGCAGGTCACCCTCTCAGGAAAACAACATTCATTCTCAGTCATGCACATCCTAACACTTTTGACGGCAATTTATCATGGAAGACTGGGTTCACCGCAAGGGCTAACACATGTCATAGGTTAAATCAGAAAAGGCAATACTGAAAGGAAACTTCAAAGTCCTTAATACACAGAGTTAAATATGTTGGGGAAAAGCTTACCGTGTTTGTTATAAAGATGGGAGTAAACAGCGTGCTGGAGGAATTTTGGCAAAATGCAGTGTGATTGTTTTGCCTGTTCAAGGCACCATTTGTGTCATTGCGATGGCTTTGATGAACACAACCGTAACTTGCAGAAAGTTAAACAGGTTTCATGAATAGGCCTTCTCCGGGTCTAATTGCTGTGGATGGAAAGTAGACTTGGATATATCTGCTCATGGTATGGTTTAATGCCTGGGGGAAGTTACCTTTCCTCGCAGGAGACGTGACCCTGCTAGGTGCTTTATGCTTTTAATTCGCACCAAAGTCTGTGCAAGCAGCGAGGCCCTTGCACCCTCCTGAACGCTCGAGGGTTGCG